AGGGTCGTCAGAAGCTGTACCAGCAGCCTACACACCCGAGGGCCGCCAGGACCCCCACAACCCGCAGTCAGCCCGCCACCAGATGGAGCCAAACCCCACCAGGACGACCCGGCCAAGAGCGCCCGCCCAACCGCCGACAGTGCCAGGAAGCACCGGGAGCGAGCCCCCACCACAGGAAAGGGGCCAGCCAGCTGGCCATGCACAGTCCCGGGCCGCCCCCAAGGACATCCACCCCATCCCCACCCCAGAAGAAATACTACACCCACCCCTCATTCGGACATCTCTCAAAACACATAGCACACTAGACACCTAGGCTGGGTCAAACTACCCCCTCTTAGGGGCCACTGGTCACGCCCCCAAACACCCAACCCCCCAGCCCATGAACCCACAACCCACCAGCGAGCCGAAGGCCCCCGCCCAGAACCGGGCACCAGAGCGCAAGCCGGCCCAGAGCCCGGCAACCCGCCCGCCAGAGCCCAAGATCCCCGAACCCCACAGGCCCAAGCCCGGGGGCGACAAGCCCCCAGAACCCCAAGCCCCCGCGCCCACCCCGAACCCACACCAGCACAGCCAGGCTACCAGATCGGTGACCCACGACCGCCGCCACAGACCACCTGAGGGCCTGCATGCAGCCACCAGCAGACATCCCCCAGAACCACCCAGGCCCTCCCCAGAGGGAAAGCAGTGCCCCCCTGCCCAGGTACCCCCAAGAGCCCAGCCCCCGGCAACCCCCCCGGGGCCCAAACCCATACACCCGCCTCCACATCAACCCCAAGGCCCCACAAGGTCAGATCCCAGACTACCCACCCTCACTATAAGTAACGGAGCCGATCAAAGGAGCCCACAGAGATTGATCCAATGTGTCGGCAGGTACTGTTTCAAGACTAATATGATCTAACAGAAGATTTTTATACTGATTAATGCTAAGATTATTTTTATTTTTCCAATTCAGGAGTATGGTTTTCTTTGCGATGCATAAGGCAGTGAAAATCATGCGACATGTATTTTTTTCCAGGGTAACATCTTCCAAGATAGCCAATAAGCAAACAGACGGAGAGAGTGGAATATTACATTTCAGACATTTAGACAAGTCTTCACAAACCTGGACCCAGAACCTCTGAACGGGTGGGCAGAACCAGAGTGCATGGATATAATCATCAGGAATATTGCCTGTGCACTGTGAGCAGTTGTTAGATGATGTAAATCCCATCCTAAACATTCGCTGACCTGTATAATGTACTCTATAAAGAACTTTATACTGTATTAATTGTAAGTTGGAGATTCTAGTCATTTTAAATGTTCTTAAACATATTTTAGACCAGGTGTTTTGGTCAAAATTGATTGATAAATCTGACTCCCATTTTGCAACAGGTAGTATTATGGAGTCATTGATTCTAGACAATTTCTTGTATATTTTAGATAATAATTTGGGGGATTTAAGATTAAGGAACTCTAACACACATATTGGTGTTTCTAACAAAGTTTTATTAAGCTTAAATTTCTTTTTTATGATAGACTTAATTTGTTGATATTCTAAGAAGTATTTATTTTCAATGTCAAATTGTATTATTAAATTATTAAATGGAATAAAGTCTACACCTTCATATATGTGTTCCAGACGTTCAATTCCCTTGACTCTCCAACCTGGGAAATTTAACATATTATTTTCTTGTAGGATGTCAGGATTGTTCCAAATGGGTGTATGTCTACAGGGGAGTAGTGAAGATTTTGTCATTTTCAAATACTCCCACCATGCTGTCAGAGAAGAGCTAATACTGATGCTTTTAAAGCAAACATGTCTTTTTATATTTGTGCTAATAAACGGTAGATCTGAAATCTTAATATTATTGCATAAAGTTTGTTCTATGTCTATCCAAGTTTCATCTAATGTATTTGGATTTAACCACTTTGAGATATATTGTAACCTATTGGCTAAATAGTAGTGATAGAAGTTGGGAAGTTCTAATCCTCCGGTATCTTTAGATTTCTGTAATGCTTTTAAGCTAATACGTGGAGTTTTGTTTTTCCAAAGGATTTTAGATATCAAAGAGTCCAGTGACTTAAACCATTCAGTTGAAGGTTTATTTGGAATCATTGAGAATAAATAGTTTATTCTTGGCAGGACCATCATTTTTACTGAGGCAACTCTTCCCATAAGTGATATGGGCAGAGATTTCCATCTAGTAAGATCATCTTCAATGTTCTTTAAAATTGGGATATGATTCAATTTTATTAAGTCTTCCAATCTAGGAGAAATATTAATGCCCAAGTATGTGATGTCACCTGATTGTAGTCGTTCATTGAGAGAAGTATTAAACACGCAGTTTATTGGAAGAGCTGTAGATTTTGACCAATTTATAGAATAATCAGAAACTTTTGAGAACGAGTTTATTAATTCGATAACATTAGATATTGAATTTTCTGTGTTCTGAAGAAAAAGTAAAACATCGTCAGCATAAAGACTAATTTTATGTTCTATATTTTTACACAGTATACTTTTAATATCAGCAGTTTGTCTTATTGCTGCTGCTAAAGGTTCAATAAAAATAGCAAATAGTGCAGGTGAAAGTGGACATCCCTGCCTGGTCCCCCTCTGTAAACAGAAGCTTGAAGATATTTGATTATTTGTCCTGACACATGCTCTTGGTGAGTTATATAATATTTTTTACCAATTAATGAAATGGTCCCCAAAACCAAATTTACTCAATGTAGCAAATAAAAATTTCCAGTTTACCCTATCAAATGCTTTTTCTGCGTCCAAAGACAAAATAGCTGTTTCAATATTTTTACTATATGAATACTCTATTAAATTATATAATCTGCGTGTATTTGTGGTCGAGTGTCTTCCTTTTATGAATCCAGTTTGGTCAGGATGAATAATGAGAGGAATTATTTTCTCTAATCTTTTAGAGAGGACTTTACTAATTATTTTAACATCCACATTAATAAGAGAGATGGGGCGATAACTGGTAGGTAGTACTGGGTCTTTGCCTGGTTTTAATAGTAGACTAGTGTTGGCTGAATTCATATGTGTTGGAAATCTGCCATTTTCTTCTGACTCATGTAGCATTCTGAGAAATATTGGTTCCAGGATGTTCCAGAACTCTTTATAAAATTCTGCTGGATATCCATCTGGGCCTGGAGATTTCTTATTAGGCATGTTTTTAATGGCTTCACGAAGCTCATCTGATGTTAATGGTGAGTCTAGTTCTGAAGATTGACTACTGTCTAGTTTTGGAAGTATTACTCTCTCCAAGAATTGATTAATATCTTCATCTGTTGGATTTATTTGTGGAGTGTATAGAGTTTTATAGAAATCTCTAAAAACACTATTTACTTTTTCCTCGTCATAAGTTATGTTACCATTTGTGTCTTTAATACCATATATAGACGTTTTTTCTTTATTTAATTTGAGTTGATTAGCTAAAAAGCTACCTGATTTATTACTGTGTTCAAAATGTTCTAAGCGAAGTCTTTGTACCAAGAATTTGTTTTTTTTGTCAATACATTCATTTAGTTCTAATTTTATCTTGCGTAGTTTTTTCTGTGTTTCCTCTCCTTGTAAACTTTCTAATAATTTGATAGATTTTTCTAATTCCTCAATACGTTTATTTTCTTTTTTCTTTTTGTTTGTTGCGTAGGATATTATTTTCCCTCTCATAACTGTTTTCCCAGCCTCCCAGAGTGTACACGTTGATGTACCTGGCAAGTCATTAAACTCTAAATACGATGTCCATTCATTTTTAAAGTATTGTATAAATTCTTCATCCATAAGCAGTGATGTATTTAATCTCCAGTTTATACTTTTTGGCATTTCTTTCTTATTATCTAAATTTAAAGTAACTGGTGCATGATCGCTGACAGCAATAGGGTGTATCTTAGTGTCTGAAATGTTGGTCAGCAATGAGTTGCTGATTATAAGATAATCCAGACGAGAGTAAGAGTGATGCACATGTGAAAAGAAAGAATACTCTTTACTATTAGGGTGAAGAGACCGCCATGCATCGCAGAGTCCATAATCACTCATGTACTGTTTAACTACATTTATGGATTGCCAACTGCGTTGAGCTCCTACTGCATTCAGCCTGTCTATTTTGTTATCTAGACCAAAGTTAAGATCACCTCCCAGTACCAGCGAGCAATCCATGTGATTTGATAGATTAGAGAAGAGATCATGAAAAAAAACGGCATCGTCCACATTTGGCCCATATAAACTAACAATACAATATTTTTGACTGAGTATGGATAATTTTAATATTATATATCTACCTTGTGGGTCCATAATTGTGTCTAATATTGTGAAGTTCACATTTTTATGTATTAATATTGCTACTCCTCTCTGTCTTGAGTTATAGCAGGCTGAAAATACATGAGGAAACTCAGGAGATTTTAGCTCATCCACAGTTGATGGTAATTTATGAATCTCTTGGAGTAATACAACATCTGCCTTTAATCTTTTAATCTGGCTAAAGATTCTATTTTTTTTATGTTGGCTACCGGCTCCATTAATATTCCATGTGACAAACCTTAAGATACCCATATTTGTGCTTGTGAAAATATAATTAAACCACACCCATTATCACAAATATCAAAAATAGTAAAACACCCAGACAATAACATAATCCTTAATGATTGATTATTTATGATTTATAGATAAACTAAGTGCTGTTTTTGAAGGTAAATCATGGATGTATTCCTTTATGAGGTATTTGTATGTATGTATATGGATATATATAAGCCTTTGTGCCTGTGTGCTAATAATTGTTGAGTCAGAAAAATAGAGACAAAAAAAAGAAAGTGAAATGATAATAAACACATAAGGATAAAAGAAGAAAAAATAAAAAATTTAATACACTAAATAACTTTTCCAACTGTAGTGTCATTTTTTTTTATTTAAAAATAAAAAGTTGTTGCACTGTAAGTATTATGAAGTCACATCCTCCAACACTTGACACTCAAATATTTAGGACGTATCTTTAAATCTATAAATATGAGCTCACCCGTGTTGCAGATCTCTAAGTGGATGGTGAAGATGGAGTGGGAGCGGGAAGAATCTTTATTCATCAGTGTGTAGCCTACTGCCCGATTCTTCCAGCCTTGCTCCATGATCCTTTCACACTCCCACACGCTGTGCACAGAGTGCATGGAGAGGTTTCGTACATACAATCCACACTCTGGGTGCTCCTTCAGCTAGGCATTCAACAACAATAAAACGCATACAAGAATGTCAGTTACCCACTAAACACCTCAGCCTTTAAGGAATAGTTTAACAACTCTGGCTTTAAGTCACTATGGCAACTTTTCACTAAGTCCATCCATCCATCCATTTTCTTCCGCTTATCCGGGGTCAGGTCGCGGTGGTAGCAGCCTAAGTAGGGAGGCTCAGACTTCCCTCTCCCCAGCCACTTGGGCCAGCTCTTCCGGGGGAATCCCGAGGCGTTCCCAGGCCAGCCGAGAAACATAGTCCCTCCAGCGTGTCCTGGGTCTTCCTCTGGGCCTCCTTCCGGTGGGACGTGTCCGGAACACCTCACCAGGGAGGCGTCCAGAAGGCATCCTAAACAGATGCCCAAGCCACCTCAACTGGCTCCTCTCGACGTGGAGAAGCAGCGGCTCTACTCTGAGTCCCTCCCGGATGATCGAGCTTCTCACCCTGTCTCTAAGGGAGAGCCCAGACACCCTGTGGAGAAAACTCATTTCGGCCGCTTGTATCCGAGATCTCATTCTTTCGGTCACAACCCAAAGCTCGTGACCATAGATGAGGGTGGGAACGTAGATCGATGGGTAAATTGAGAGCTTCGCCTTTTGACTCAGCTCTCTCTTCACCACGACAGACATGTACAGCGCCCGCTTCACTGCAGACGCTGCACCTATCCGCCTATCGATCTCACGCTTCATTTTTCCCTCATTCGTGAACAAGACCCCAAGATACTTGAACTCCTCCACTTGGGGTAGGACCTCCTCCCTGACACGGAGAGGGCACTCTACCCTTTTCCGGCTCAAGACCATGGCCTCGGATTTGGAGGAACTGATCTTCATCCCGGCCGCGTCGCATTCGGCCGCGAACCGCTCCAGCGAAAGCTGTAGATCACGATCTGATGAAGCCAATAAGACCACATCATCTGCAAAAAGCAGAGACGCAATCCTAAGGCCACCAAAACGGATCCCCTCAACACCTTGGCTGCGCCTAGAAATTCTGTCCATAAAAGTTATGAACAGAATCTTTTCACTAAGTATTTTGCACAATCTCGATGTATTCAATGAGACTGTTTTCACAAATATTCTGTAGTATGACATATGCAGGATATATTCATACATTTACGGGTTCTTCATTTTTCTGACTGTGTAAATGTCGTGCATTGAATCTAACAGAAATGTAACGAGAGACGTTATTTATCTTTGACCCATCAAAATGAATGCGGTCATTTATTTGTAGAATCAAAGTTTAACATCAAACATTTACATTAATTTGGCAAAATATGAAAACAATAACATGGCTAGTTTCACAGGAAGTGGGCACAATACGGCGATTGTCCTCACTTTCAGCAGAACAGTAGACATCAATCACACGGCGGTGATTGAGAACTTTGCTTCAGACATTTCTAAAATATCTGTAATGATTTTAGGAGAAAGGAGAGTTTAAGATGGAAAATGGAGATTTATCTTACAGAGAGATGTGTGAGGGAATTTATCTGTTTGACCAGAACGGGCACGCTCCTTCAGATCTCAGCTTGGCCACGGTACGCTTGGTCGAAATAGAACTTTTACCTGGTTGATGATAGATCAGGTCGGCGTGAAGTCCTTCTTTTGACTCTTTCAGCGTCTCCGTTGAGAACAGCTAAAATACTTCGAGAGTCGTGCGAGGTTATCCAAACAGAAGTTATAATTCCCAAAATCATCCCTGCATTCTGGATTCAAGAACTCTGAACTCCTTCAGAGCTCTACTCCTTTAAGCTCTTTTCATCTCGTCGCGTCTCTCTTCGACAGAGACTCGACACAGACATCAGACCCTTTTTTGACACTTCTCCATGAGCTGCATCCGAGAGCGTTGAACTGGGAAGTTGCCACATTTAAATGGGCCGACTTCCGGTTCATTTGAGAGCTTTCTAATTGGTGGATGGACCAGAACAGAGGTGTGGTTTGTGATGTAAGGGGTTATGAAAATTCAAGGATAGAGATTAAGATTGTTTAAAACAGACAGAAAGATTATTGGAGAAAACCAGACTTTGTGGAGTCAAACTCTCCTGTATCTTCTGTAAAAGTTAAACATGACATTTCTTTTCAGTAAACTTTTTAGTTGACCGAAACCTGAACTTTAACACACACTTACAAACTTGCTCATTGAAGACAGAAAAATCAAGAAATGCATATTACCCTGATTTCTTCTTTGAATGAGGAATAAAAATCATTACTTACTGTTTATGTAAATAAAAATGAGTAGTTCTCTTCAACCTGTAAACATTGTTTGAACTAACACAATTTGATTATTAAAACATTTGTAAAGTAGTAATGATCATAGAGAATTGTCATTTCTACTTGATTAATTCAAAAAAAAGAAAGTCTCCGGATGGGTCAAACTGTATTTCTGGATCAGA